GGTACCAGCTCTTGAGCATGTCTCAGGGTTTGTTGGACCATGAATTAAATGGTGATGGGGATTCCTTTTAGACTGCTTTGGCTGCTTTGAATCAGGCATCCCTTCTGCTACATGTAGTGTAGCTGGATGATATAAATGCCTACACTGTAGGGAACCTGCTTTAGTAAAAGGGTTGGAGTTGATAATCTCCGGGAGGTCCTTACCAACCATATGAGTCTGTGATTCTCTTCTCAGGGCCCTAAATTCAGGAGTCTTGAGAAGCAGGTCCTGCTTGCTTCAGAAATGAGTTGTTCTTTTCCAGTTTTGGCTTTCAGAAAGCTAGTAACCTCTATGGTTTGGCTGTTTGCTGCAAAGCCAAAGCTTTTTTACCCAAATGGTGGCCTCTGTCATTTTGCTGCTTGTGTGTTCAAGATTAGGTACAGCAATGCTCTGAATATTGTTCCTATCATCTGCCCTCGGGGAGAGGTTTGAGAAAATTAATCAACTACTGCAGAAAACCATGGCATTGTTAGACTTCTTATGAAATTCAGAGAGGAAGAGCATTGTCAGTTTCTTGAAATCTTGCTTGTTGGCTTTAGGTGTAGCCTACGTAACTCTTGTGCATATTACTGTACACAGTAAGAGTACAGTTTGGAAATGATGTTTTGGGTGGTTAGAGCCAAGTGAGTGTTGTAAATGGAGATATATAATGTGGAGATCATGTGACGGTGGAATCACATGCCCTGGTAACCTGATCCAGATTTTTTTGGTACTTGGGGAAAAAAGAGGGGAAAAAGGCCATTAACAAGGTAATATTTCAGACATTGACACATATGTGATGTGATCTCTCCTTTCCTTAGTTAATGGCACAGGCTCAGCTCTGCTGAGGCAGGCAGTGTGGTGGAACCCAGGGAACCTGGCAGGCATAACTGAAATCCTGCAGCAGGGGCTTTGCCATGACATTACATTTGTATCACTGCCCTGGTTCTTTACAGCATGTTAGTCATCCTCTCTGCAGCACAGTGTTAAGCTTGGCTTTTGTTGCTGCAGACTTAGTTCAAGACATGAAGTTCATAAATCAGTTTGGTGTACTTAAGATCACTGTCTGATAAATTGCTTGCTTTCTGAGATCTTTGTGTGATTCCGTATTAAGGCTATTTCTACCTCATATTGTTTGGTTCTTGTCTTGAATCTTCCATCCCTAACCTATTGGTTTACATTGTGGTGTTGAGCACTTCACACTGATGTAATTGGTATTTCTTTAGTATTTCTTTAAAATCAATGTGTGAGGTCCTTAATCAACTTGAGGTTGTGTGGTCTGAAAGCGGCTTATCGGAGGAGCTGTGAACAAGACCAAGAGAGCAAGACTTAGGAAATTTGAGCTTCAGAGTAGACAAATGGCTGGTGAGTTCTTAGGTGTTCTGTGGTAATGCTTCATTCAGGCCATGATTTGGGTATGATAAAATGCCTTCTTCTTAGGTTTGAGCAGCTAACTTTTTTGTGATGGGGGAACAGTTAACCAGTGTGTCCAGGTATGTTAAGTGAGGTGTTCTTGTTTTCTATTGAATGGGGAGAGTCTGGCTGTAGGGTTTTCACCACAGCAAAATCAAGGTAATAAAGCTGCTGGTCTTTTGCATTTTGTGAGGTGTGTGTGTGTGCGCGCGTGTGTGTGTGTGAAGCCAACCCATTTGAAACCTACAGCCCTGTATGACAGCAGTCTCTCTTGGGATGCATTCAAATTGGTGTAAACCATGGAAGCAATTTGATGCAAACTCGGTGTTGCCTGTTAACACTGAAAGAGTTTTCCATTTTTAGTGGCTTTTAGGGCAAGACAACATATGACCAGCTTTATTTGTCCTCCAGCAGGACAAGCCAAAGAAGTGTACTCATTGTTAATTTTGGTACTGTGACATATAATTAAGATATTTTTCTGCACCATGTTCTTTTTGTTCAGTCATGCCATCTTGTGAGTGGTTGGTCTTTGGTTATGTTTTCTTGAATTGCCACCTCCTAAAGAAATCACTGCAAACCTGAAGTTAAATTAGCCCTCTCCACGTATGTGTAAGCATTTAATTTACTTGCAGTTTGAAGTAAATTGCATGGATTTGGCAATTGCCAAGTTACAAAGTATTTGGGGACGCCTTCCTACAAAACTGAAACCAAGCTGTTTTATAAGAGCAATTAAATGTGATTTATGGTCTGGTCTTTAATTATGTCTTTGCCTTCTTTATATTAAAAACAACAAGCAAACAAACAAACAAAACAACCAACCAACCAAACAAACAAACAAAAAAAAACAACAAACATAGAAGGAAGCCAAATGAAGGAAAGGAGAGAGAATTTAGGAGACTGTGTTCAGACATGGATAAAAACCACTTTTGGCCGATATTGTTTTTATTGTTTGAATCACATGGCTTAAGTGGTTGACAAATTATCCAAAATCAATTCCGACAATTACATAAGAGTACCACACCCAGTATAACCAGTTTTAATGAATAAACAGTGACTCACAAATAGCAGACATTGTTTGAAGATGTAGTATCTTGGGGTGGGATTTATTTTGTCTTACTCACATCCTTAGAAGCTGGGGAAATCTGCGCCGATCCATGGCTTTCCAATTTTTAATGGTACCTTGTTGCTATGTGGACTACAATAGCTAGAGCCATGATTGGTGCCTTGCAATGAGTATAAGCTGGATGAAAGTCCTTTCTGAGAAAATATCTCTGTCTCTGTGTGACAGCTTGGCTTAAAATGGAGCATAGTTCTTTTTTTTTCTTTTCTGGCATCAACAAATTCAAGGTGTTGTGCAACTGGGAAAGTATTTCAGTTTTAAGCCATCGATATTAAATTGTTTATTGAGAATGCCTCTTAACTACTTAATTATTACTTATCCTTTGTAAATCAATATTGATAAAAACTAACTTGGCAGTTCTGATACCTTTTATTTTTTATGTCAACAAACCACAGTCTTTAAAATCTATGAATTGCAATGTCAGTCTGACTGCTCCATCCTATACACCAAATCAACACTGATTTCCTCAATGGCTGCATAAATAACTTAGTCAAAAGGCTTTCAGTGCAATGACTCCCTGTGTTAATGTAATTTTAAGAGTCTGTACAGTTAACACTAGAATTTGCAATTTTGTGCCGAAACTGGACTCTCTTGCAGTTGGAGAATGCTTCTAGCTAGCTGGGATTGAGAGAAAGCTTTGTAGCAGTCGAAAGTACTCCATGCCTCTATTTTTTTTTTTTTTTATTTGCTTAGAAATTACCTCAGGAAGTGCCATAGAAATATTATTATACCTTGAAGTGTAGCACCATTGAGGTCTGAAGGATCTGTGCTGAAGTTCAGTGTCTCTTCAGTCATATTTCCTCCCTGACTTCTTAGTATAATGTCTTAGTGACCTCCTTATCTATGTGCAGTTCTGATTATTTATTTATTTATTTTTAAGGAATTTCAGCATGAAGGTTGTTCCCAGATATCTAAGTCATTGCAGTTTTGAGATGGGCCCAACTCTGGCCAGTGACATTAGGGTAAAGGAAACACCTCACTGCATGTTGCGTGCATGACTTAGGAATGAACTGTTTGCATTAAACCAAACAAATGTACTGTGTAGTCCCATAGATGTCAGAAAGAACTCTAAAATGAGAATAAAGTTTGGCCTCTTTAAAAGTTGGTTGGGGTCTTATGGGTTAAAAAAAAAGAAATGAAAATCGGAAGATGTTCGTAACATCTAATTTTTTTCTCTAGCAATTGAAGTTCAAGTTGTTGAATTTGAAAAACAAGCAACTTTTTTTTTTTTTTTTTTTTTTTTTTTTTAACATAGCTTAAGTCCAAAGATTCTGGTGACAGTATATGTTCCTCTAGCAATTTATGAAAAATAACAGGGTGATAATTTAGCAGGTCCTTAAAGCACAGTGTCTTCTCCTTTGCTCTTTCACCAGGCATTGCTCATTTGTTTCACCACTAATTTCTTTAATTACTGTGGCAAGTAGCAACTGTTGGTCTGGATGCACATAGATTCCACAACACTTTTGTGTGCCTGAAGTCCTGTGCAGCACTGGGGATGGTCAGGATCCTCAAAAGGAATTTTATGACAAGCTAATGCCTGAACCTGGAGACCCCTAAGCTAACAAAAATAAATGCTTTTCTTTGTTTGATTTCTGTATATAGCTGGAGTAAAACTCTTTTTGGGCTGTTCTAGAAACTTTTCTCCCTTCCTGATTTGTGTGTGGGCTACCAATCTGGGTGTTGATAAAGGAACCTTTGCTGCGGGGAAACCAAGTAAGAAGAATCCAAATGAATTTAAGCTTAAGAGATCACCAGCGTATCACTCTTCACTTGAGATGGAGTGAATTAATACCAGGAGCAAATCACTTTGGGGAAAATAGCTTTGTTGAAAACCTATAGGCAATAGTTTTGGCTTCGGGTGCCTTAAAGTCCTTTGTTTGACATTCTTGTTCATTGCTTTTCACCTTGTATATGAAAAGTAGCCCCACTAGTATAGTCTTACTGTTTTCCAGCTAATAGGTGTTTATGTACATGTGGTAATAAAGACTTGCCAGAGAGGTTCTTTAATCACACTGCCTTAGATGCAAGTGGCAGGAAAAAAAAAGGTAATATATTTCATGCTGGGTATCATGAGTGTTCAAGATGTGAAATGAAGTAGAAGATTTAAATGAGAAAAGACTCCACACTTTTTTTTCTTTATGCTTCTGTTTCAGATTTCTGTTATGCTTTCCAGTATAGCTAGTATATAGAAAATTTAGAAAACAAGTATGCCCACATGATTTAGCTGAAGATTGATTTTGCACCAGCAGAAACTATTTGAAGATGTTAAATCTGACTTCTTTTGAGGCACAACTGTTTTAGGAAACTTTTTATTTTGAAATTAATATAAGAAAGTAGTGCATACTGTGAACTACATGTTGAACTGAAGTTTTTTACTTCTCAATTTTTCTTTCTCATCCTGATTTTTGTATGCATGTCTCAAATTGACCTCTAATTCTTATTTTTGTAGACAGTTACTGGGAAAAGCTTTGGAACAAAAGACTTTCGAGCAGCTTTAGAAAATGGAGTCCTGTTGTGCGAGTGAGTATTGACTTATTATATAAAAATGCTTCAGGTTTCTATCAGCCCGTTTCCTTCTTGGCCTGGTTGTTTTGAGTTAAGTGCCAACAATGTATTAAACTGTATGTTTTTTTTAATCCTTGTTTGAAAGCTGTTCTTCCTTCCCGTGGCAAACGTCCACTTTCTGGATCTATGTATTCCATGTGTTGTCCAACACATTTATCTTAGCTGGGACATTGTGCTGATCCTCTGGCCTTTGCTTAGTTTTATTGCTTATAATGCTCTTAGTGCTACTGGACTTTCTCTTCAGCTCATGCAAGGTGGTGTGGCCAGTGACTGTGATGGAAGCACTCAGTTATTTATATAATCACTGTTGTTTTGTTTTGCCTGCTTCAAGTAAAAGAATCATTGTGAACCCTTGTTTTCTAAATCCTGAAAGACAGTGATTCTTCCCAGAAAACCTGATACCAAAAAAGTAGTTTATTTCAATAATGAATGTGATTAAATCATAAATTAAAAATAAGTTTAGGCCTCTGCTTTGTTTTTTTTTTTTTTTTTTTTTTTTTTTTTTTTTTTTTAGTAATACTAATTACTGAAATTTCTCTTCAGTATAAAATAGAAAAGGAGTTATTTGGCCATCTTAGAATCACATCCAAGTACGTCATTAACATTATCTATAGGATGTCACTTGGCATACTCAAAGGCAACTTAAAATCATAAAATGTTGCAGCCCAGGTTTCAGTAGCATTTGGACTGAACTAGTTACTGCTTTCAACAGCAAACAGTACTCTGACCTCAGCTTTTTCTAGAACACTTTCTCAAAAAAGCTTTCTTTTGTTTATATATACTATAGACTTGGCAATAATGAGACTTGTCAGGTTTCGCTAGTAGACTGAGTCAGAGGTACAAAACATCCACTCATCAGGTCTATCTGTAATTGGTTTTATACTTATTAGAATAATTTTCCAAGGCTGAAACTGGTGTTAACCACCTTCTATTTTAAGGAAATATAGGTGTAAGTGTCCCATTCAAAGACTACATTGGACATTTAAAAATGCCTTGTATCTTGGAGGTATCCATTATCAGTTCAGCCATTTCAGAAAATGTTTATGAAGGTATAATTCTCTTTTATTTATTTGTTTCAGTGTGTATCACAATAACCAAAGTAAATGCAAAACAGGCAACATTCCCACATCTTTACTTCTGTGAATGTTATTCGATTTCCTATTTGTTCTCTCCTTATTTTTTTTCCTTTGGGCACTTCACCTTTCTGACTATCTTGCTAGTTGCTTCTGTAATTGTCTTTTTGGTGTGAGGGGGTGTTTTTGTTTTTCTTTTTTAAGACTGAATGGTTTTGTAGGGATGGAAGTTTTATTTTTTTGTTGCTTATGTAATCACATGTGAACTATATTGACTGTGGTAATAAAACAGCTATTGCTTTAACAAGAAGCTACTTCCTTACTTGATGTATCTACTTAGTGGGATGTGTGTATTGTTTTCAGCTGTAACTTTTAAATCAAGTCTTTAAGCAATGGCAATGAACTGATATACTCTAACTCTTTGATATCTTCATTGTTGACACTTATTTGGCAAAAGAATATGAGCATCCATCTGCCAATCAGTTAAATTTATCTGTAATTAACAGCTACATGTGAGAAAAACATGCAGTAATTTCTTCATCGAGCAGTTTTCTTCAGGAGTCATGTAGCAGTCTTTAAAGGAAAAGACATCTAATTATACTGCACTAAATCATACAGCTGTTCTCCTGTATCATAACTTTTAAATTTGACATACCTTGAAGTACAAAGGTAAGTGATTTCCATAAGAGTTCACTGGAAATGGAAAAGAACAAAATATGGAAGACTTTCAAATGTCCAGTTTTCAGCAAAGTAAAGAAAATAGAAGATATTAAATAATGGAGATAAACTAGCCACAGCACTGCATGTTGCCTTGGTTTCCCCTGGCATGACTTGTTTAATTTACACAGATACATTATCACTGGAGGTGATATATATGGCTTATACAGATCAAATCTATGCTTTCACCACTTATTCTAGTGGCAGCTCAGTTAGCTTGTTTGACTTACTGACCAGTATGTGTGTCAACTGACTAATCAGTTGACAAAATAAATCCTTTTACATTATACTGGATTTCCTGTTTAGAGGAAGGAAGTTTTCTGTTACATGCTACTTTGTGTTCTGAAGCACATAAAGCAAATATATAATGCATTTGGAAGAAAACAGTAGCTTTTTTTTTTTTTTTTTTTTTTTTTTTTTTTTAATTTCTTTTTTTCCTTTTCTCTTGATGGAAAAGTCACCAAGTGTATTTTGTTTGATAACAATGAAGCTGAAACATCTCAGGATCTGCTACCTTTGTCTCTTATTCTGCAGGTGCTTAGAAATCTCTTCCATTTCATTATGTATGCATAAACCCTGTTCTTTTTGTTTATTTTCCAAATATATTTGCTGTTTGAGCAAAGGAGAAAAAAAAAAAATAATGCCTTTTCCCTTGTATAATTTTAAACTTCTGGAGCTGACTCTGCTTTGGTGTGGGTAGATCACAAAACCCAATTGATGTTTTGTGTGGTTAACGGGTCTGGCCAAACAAGCAGCAACAAGGAGAGGGAGCAAGTCCAAATTCCTCAGATGTAGGTGGATAAAGCCTACAAGGTGTCATGAGGTCCAACCTCTTTGTTGGTCCAGTGGTCTAGTGTATATTTCAGTGAATCATGGGATTTCCCTACCAACATGACTGAGAACCTGGGAATAAAGGTGCAAGGAATACCTTGCCTTGTCCTCAATGCATGACAAGATGTGCATCTGTTCTGTTTTTCAGTTTTATTGTAAATTCTATATGAAGTACAAGTGATATTGTGAGGCTCAGTCCTCCTGTCCAACTGGAAAACAAAACAAAACAGAAAAATAACTTGCATGTGTAAAATATTTACAAAAAAATATTGTTGCAGACATCATACTGGGGCTGGTAGCATATGAAATCTGAGCTGGTTTCCTACGGGAATATCAGACCTCTTACAAGGAACACTGAAAATTAATGTTTTTATATGTATTCTTCTGATAAAATTTGATATAGAAGATATGAAAAATCTTTAAATGTGAAATTTCAGTCCAGTTAACATCACCACCAATTTAGCAGAAACATAGAATCACCAATTGTAGAATCAACACATTTGGAAAAGACCTCCAAGATCATCCAGTCCAACCAGTTAAACATGAATTAATTTCTCCTTGTATCCGCCTATCTGCTTCTGTTTTTTTTTTTTCTTTCTTTCTTACTCTGCCTTTATCAACCATCTTATTTTTATGACTTGTCCCATTTTTGCTTCTATAATCTTCTATTGTTGATTTTTGTTTTTTGGTAAACTGACTTAAAAAAAAAGAAAAATGATAATAATAGGGGCATGTGTTAATAGATTCAAATTTATTTGATTCAAGTCATAGGAGTGAGTAATGCAAGCGAAGTTTTTCTTAGTAAGCAATGATGTTCAGACTTAAATAAAATTATGTAATATAAATTCATATGATTTCTTTGTAGCTTGATTAACAAGATCAAACCTGGCATTGTTAGGAAGATAAATCGTCTGTCAACTCCAATTGCTGGCTTGGTAAGTAATGACAGCAAATCTAATATCTGTGGTATGACTCCATGCTCTGCTTAATTAGTGCTTGATAAGCACCCTCTTGCCTGTTGGTCTCACCATGGACTCATTAAAAAGCCTACCAAGTGAACAGGATTATACCTTGAATTTCATTTTTGATCGTGTTACCACTTACACATTAAATTGGAAAGCAAAGATTATCCTTACCATGATCTGAACCTGTAACTTGAATCAACTTGTCACTCTATGGAGCTTCATCATCCCTATATCAAGCACTGGTGGCTCCTGAGTACAAGCCTATACAGCATTACCTTTCTTTATTCAAAGGCTATTGTTGCATTATACTCACAAACCACTTCAGAATCCCCTCTGTTAGGGAAAGAACAAGCTAAGGAATATTTCTTGCAACCTGATTATTTTTAGAAGCTGCTTCTCCCCACCCACAGTAAAGCTTAGGTTGCATTAAAATAACTCTGATGCAGAAATCTCTCTTAAGGCTTCACGTAAGAGATTTAGCAGAAGATATTTTGGCTGAAAATCGTCTACAGAGGGGGGGAAAAGTAACGTATGGAATCATTTATACAGGAAATTTAAGAATTCCTGTATGCTATTTAGTAAATGTGCTGGTCAGAGACCATACACTGAATTTTTTAGCCATTTAGGATCAGAAAACCTTTAAGAGGGTAAGCAAATTGAATTCTTTTTTGCCGTTTTTTTTTTTCCAGATAAATTAGCCTTCTAAGTTATTCCTAACTTACAGGATAACTGTCTCTTAGTCCTGTGGCCAAAACCTCATTTTTAAAAGACACAAAGCAAATAGGGATATGCGTGTGATTCCTACCAGAAGCAGAAGATTCCACCTTATGGTAAATATGCAATCATAATGTTAGGGGAAGTTTCCTGATTTTTGTAAAGGGAGTAGAAGACAAAATATCTCTAGAACTTCAATTGAGGGCATAGGACAGCAAACATCTGCTTTTGCATCAGCTATGCAATTCTTTAGAGGAACTGTATTTAACTTGGCTAGAGGTCATAAGATTGGGTTAACTTGCCATACATTATTGTACAAGCTCAGAAAGTCCATTTCCACATCAAATGAATGTGCAAAGTATTAGTTGCCTTTGTCCCGGAAAGCTTAGGGTATTAGGCTTGTGAATGAGTGCTGCACATTCTTTTCCTGTGAAGCATCCAAAAAAAGAACTCAAAATGATTCTGGGGAAGATGGTACTGTTATTTTATCAGTCACTTGATTGCCTGAATTGCCTCTGAAGTAACCATCTGTCCAGACCGAAAACCGTAGGCTAGATTTCATTTTTTGTGGTGTCGTGTTGTCTTGAACTATGAAATGGAATACCTTTTTAATTTCACATGGTTCTTTTGTTGTTTACAGACACGCAAATTTGGAGTATTCATTAGGTGTTTAGCTTTCTTTTCTTATTTGGTGTGTATCATTGTTACTAGTTCCTACAAGTCTTCAAAAAGAAAAGGGAGGAAGGGTGAATGAAGCTCATAAACCATGACCATCCACTGCTATTGTTGTTATTATTAAAGTACCACTTAAAGGTGGTCCTTGAGACAGCGGATATTTTGTGTTAACCTGTGGAAATAGTTTTACGGAAATACTTTGGTTTCAGAACATTGTGATTATGATGGCAATAACGGGTATGTGTGTATGTATGTCTCCCGACTTGAGAGTGTCATGCTAATTTAAACAGCTTTGGAGAGTTCAGCTTTCATCCCTGAATGTATATAACTCATACTAAAACCTACAGCTCTGTGCATTTGTAGAAACACAAGCGTTAGTACCTGCTATGTTTAGAATATTGTGGCTGACGAACTGCAGGATTTATGGATGGAAAGGATTCACATTCAACAACTTCTACTGAAAATTTCTCTGCTTTACTTTCCAGTATAGAAAAGCAAGGTTTATTGTGCTCCTAAGTGTAGAGCTTGCCAGGAATTATCTGGTTTGCTTGCTATGTTCTGGAAATACTTTCACTGCTTGTTAGTTGATTCTCCCACAAGTCAGCTTCTAGACTGTGTTTTCCATGGCTTCATGTACACTTCCACAACTCTCACTTCTGCTGTATTCAGTGTCTTTCAATCTTACGTTAATTGCTCCCCACCAGACCTTTATAAGATTTGGAAACCTTACTGGTAGGGGGACTTTTTTTTTTTTTTTTTTTTTTTTTAAACCAGATGGAAATTTTAACTTCAAGAGGTAGAATTTATTTCTAAAGGATAAACAGATGCTACAACTTGCATTTGAGTCTTTGATCATTTGATCATGTTCTCTCTACAGCTTCTTCACAGTCCTTTTGGACCTTGGAATTTCTTCAGATTTTCTTTCTTTCTCTAGGGAGTTAATGCATTTGACTTTTCTTTTCTCTCTCCTCTGAAGTTTTGTTTGCTTCAAATGCGTGGCAGTTTTCTCAGCAGTATAGAAGTACAATGCTCAACATAAGTATCTGGTTGAATCTCCAGAAGGGGTTCATTATGTTGTTTATTTGTCTTTGTAGTTATTCTGAAAACAAATTTCTTGAGTAAAATAGGAAATGAAAGCCTGTGTGAATAACAAAAGAGTCTGGGTTTTAGGGAATATTGTGTGCTATACTTTTTAAAATAGAGGTAGGTGACTGAGATGTGTTTTTTTTGTTGGTTTTATTTTATAAATTAAGTGAATTATTAATTTATTTCACTTGCTTTTGGAACCCTTTAATTCTCAAAAACCTAATAGAAACTTGACATTAGAAGGATCATCTAAATTCCAAGCTCATTTTAGTCAACTGAATGTAAGCTTCAGCCTGCATCGCTGGTATGGTTATACTGATCGCTAGTTTGATTATAGTGCGGTTTAGTAACTATGGGTGTGGATCTCAGTGGTTCAGGTATAATCGTGATGGAAAGGATAAATAAATACATGTCTTGATGATTAAACATTGAAATGAAACTTGGCATTCAGTTAATAGAAGTGCTGGTACTGGGCAAACTTAAAAATTCTTTAAGCTGGTGCTGCAATGCTGATGTTCCATTTTTTTTTTTTTTTTTTTTGTTGGAGACATGTGTCCCCCATGGCTTGTGTGACAGCTAATAGTTGTTTTAACCCTTTTTTTAAAAAAAAAAAATATTTTTTCTATCTTTGATTCATGTGTGTTTGTTTGGAAAACTGAACTTAGCCATTGAGGGGTGAGACCACAACCAAAGTTCTTGAAGACAAATGGTAGTAGCAGGAAAGAGAGGGCTGAACAGATCCATCTCCTGATGGTGACGAGAAGCAGTTAGGCCAGCCCTCAAGTTTAACTCTTATTCCAGCAGCAAGTAACAGGGCTTGGCTGCTGGAGACACCTGCTGTGACAGCTGCCCATTTTACAGAGCAGTGTGCCCATTTGGGTTAGTCCTAGCTCAATGCCAGCTTGCCCAGGTGAATTCCTGTGTAGCCATCTCTGATTTCCTTGTCATTCTTGGTCAGTGATGAGTGACCAAG